AACCATTTTGGACCCTCTGCCCTAAGTCAGTGCAGATAATTATTCAAATCCCTCATACATTTTTCCTGGAGAAGCCTTTTTAGGTTATGTCTACACACACACACACACACACACAAGACTTAAATATGACTGGTCAATAAAAGTGGTTTGATTTTTTTTTTAATTGAATAATAAGCAGCTTAGGGGATGGGAAGTCCAAAGCTGTAACTTATTAGTTGTGACTTCAAACCAAGTTGCTTTATCTCTCTTAACCTCATCCCTTCAATGGTAAAATGGGAATATTAATAAGACTGCCCCCAAAAGGTTGTTGTGAGGATTAAATATAACAAAAGCAATACTGCCAACTCATTGCCGCCAGGCAATGTAAGCACTCCAGAAGGGTTACGATTGTTATTAGCTGTTGTATGGACATGACCCATTGAGTGTCTGGAGAGAATGTACATTTAGACATTATCTAAGAAGGGTGGGAATCAGAGGAAACGCCTTCATCCTATAGCCGCCAATGTGGTGGTGCCTTGTACATAGTCAGTGTCCTTTGTTTCAGGCATGTGAAAAAATGAACAAGTTGCTCACTGATAGCTCATCTTCCTAACTTCTTCCTTGGCCTCCATCAGCCTCTTTTGATTTTTGTCTCCTTTTCTAACCTCCTTTCCCATAGTGGCTCTATGTGGGGGTCAGGGGCTCAAGGGTTCATGAATACTATTAGAGAATGAGTATTCTTTGTCCCACCAGGGGGGATGGTCAGAAACAGGACTCCCGGGAAATGAAGTCTGCCTGAAGTCACAGGTTTTACCTCTCCTTTGAGGGCAGGTGAACTCCTGCTCAGAAGAGATGCCAGACTGGCTGTCTGGGGCAAACCCCTCCCACTCGCCTGTGTCTCTTGTGTCCTGGGGCACGTGGCCATGGCTTGGTCCCAGACAGTGGTAGATTGTGTTACCGAATATAGCAGAGGGCACTTGCCAGGGAAACTGCCCTTCTACTTATGCCCAAACTCTGCCACCCCGAGGTAAGAGAATAGGTCTTTGCCATCAGCCTCAAGCTTTTGAAGGCAAGTTCTCCAGTGCATAAGCAAATTGGCAGAAAGTATGTGAGGCTGAGAATCAGCTCAGATAACTGCTGGTAACCTGGGGAGATCCCAGTATCTTTTTACAGCAAGAAATTGCCTGTGGGCTAGAGGTGGGAATGAAACTGACGGTCACCACCAGAATGAGGATCATGTGCTCTATCTCCACCAGTAAAACTATATTCCTAGTAATCATGATAAGAACAGCTACCTTTAGTGCCTAGCACTGTTCAGCACCCTTAATGGATTACCTCCTTCAGTCCTCACAGTAACATTATTACCGTCCCATTCACAGAGGAGGCTTAGAGAAGTTAAGTAACTTGTTCAAAGTCACCAAGCTAGAAAATGGCAAAGCCAGACTTCTAACCCAATCAGTCCTGAATGCATCCTCTCAGCCACTTTACTAGGAAGACTTCTTTTAAAGTTAAAAAAGAAAAGAAAATTACATATACGCACACATACACTTTTGACAACCATTGACAGAAAAAATACATAAAGTCAAAAAATACTATAAAATAAGTAGTGCTTTTTAAGAAACTTGTGTTTTATTCATCAAAACAATATCTACATATAATAGAAAATAGTCTTGTGTAGATTATGAAGGCTGTTGTTTATTTGACCTAGACACAGTGCCTAGTACACGCTCATATCTTCTGGTAATAATTCCAAACCTCTAGTGGGTTGGGAGGGTGTAGTCATTCCTCTCTACTTAGAGTATAGCTGGCAAAAAGGCATATTCCTATGGATACTTAAAGGTAGCACTGCTGGCATTATGCAGAAAAGGGTTCTGATCCTTTTCTGTGATGGCTGTCTGCACCTCCTTCTGGGCCCTGACGTTTCACTCATTCATCCTGATTCCATGCTCTGGAGCCACTGTGAACAAGTTCAATCCTTCTACATTGAATCTCCTTAATTAACTACATGAATATGATGATTTTTTTTGCCATTAGCCAGTCCTTTTCCAGGCAAGATGCTTTCTGTTTCACTTTCCTCGTAGAACACATGTTCAGACTCCCCTTTATCCTCATCATCAACATCCTTCCTAAAGTTCAGTGGCCAGAACCAAAACTGGTACACCATATGTCTCTATATAATAACAAGACCACAATTTACCCTGAACTATTTTCCTGTTATTATGGGATGATTAATAAGACTAAGCACAAGTCAGCAGTTATCAGATAAAAGAACAAGTCTAATGAACCAAAGGCTTGTGCATAGAGAAGAGTGGATGGTTTTCATTCATGGAAGAGCTTGGCTCATCTTCCAAAACTGCCTTGAAAGGAATAGAATTTGACTGGTGTCATTCTCTGGTTTGGAACTGCATGTTAGTGGTAAGTGGAGAGTAGGCGTGTTTAAAGGTTGATCATTTCAGCTGTAGCAAAACTCCTACCAACTGCCAAGCATCAACTTTACAGAGCAAAGGAGGCGATTTCTAGCTGAGAAAAATTATTTTGCCAGCAACTGCTCTGACCACTGATGCTTGAATTCCTCCCATTTTCTACCAGTGTTAATAAGATTGGGAGTTCCAAGGAGAAATTTGGGCTCAGAATACATGAGAGTTCTGGCTTCTCTGCCCTCTGGCTAAGATCATGAGCAAATAAATTTCTTAAATTCTGTGGGTTTTAGTGTTCGCAAATGTAAATGGATATGATTAATAGCCCCCATTTTGCAGGGTGGCTTAAAGAAAAAACTGAAAGTGTTTTGCAAAGTAAAAAAATATTAAAAAACATATATCTGTTAGATAATATTGTATATGGGGGAGATAAAAAAAAAAAGGCAGGATACCTCCTTGCTTGAACTAAATTCTGCAACAGGAATGGAGAAAAAAAATTGGAGGTTGGGAATCATTTAGTAGAAATGGTAACTGTGCTAAATTTGGAAAGCTTTCTTCAAATACCTTTAAGGAACAAGAGTGTTTCCTTCACCCACCAGCTTTTGCAGGCAGTTGGCTTTATATACAACCATACCGGTTTTCAGACTGATCAATACAGTGCTTCTTGATCTGGTCTTCCCTCTGCTTATTTTTTAAGCATCCTGAAGCCAGAACTGGTCACTAGCTTTCTCTCATTCCTTCCCTTTACAATTTTTCCAAGTTCCCTTTCTAAGCCAGGGACCAGGTGAGTCAATGGGGAGATAGCCACAAGCAAGGCCAATATAGCCTTTGTTCTCATGACATTCTGCGGGAGACAGACGTTGCACAAAGAGTTACTGAATTGCAATTGCAATCAGTGTGGCAAAGAAAAAGTGTAGGGTTCTAAGAGAATCTATAATCATCTTGGGTGCTGGCAATGATTCAGGAAGATAGAATTCATTGCCCTCTCAACAATTAACTAATCCATGTGTGTTTCCCACTTTAAAGTTTGTAAAGCACTTTCTCACTTCATCAGGCTATTAGCTCTGCAAAGTACACAGTATTATCACCTTGTTGTAGAACTCTGGAAACCAAAGCTAAGCAACTTGGCATGATTTCCCCAGGGTCAACTAGTTCAGGCACTTACAGAACTTTTATCTGCAAATCCTGGGCTCTTCTACACCACCCTGCTAGTTCATTGGCTGCTTTCTCTTGGGAGATGACATTTTGAAAAATAGTGTTGAGGAAAGAGCAGTAGGGGAAATCACTCCCCTGGGACACATTTGGGTGGAAGCCGTGCTTAATACTGGTTTCAGCCAAATTGCAAGAGGAAGCCTATCTGAGATGTGAGAAGACATCCCGTTTTGTGTGCATCGAAATCTTTGTAGTTCCCACTAAAACTGGAAACCCTCTCTGACCCCAAATATAGCTTCTTGGTGTTACCTGTGCCTAGAGGAACCTGAGTCAACATGAAACACAGAATATTAGACTTACTCCCATAGGTTTCATTTCTCAAATCCAGCTGGTCATTGACTTTTCACAGCTCCCAGAGCTCACCCAGATTTGCTTATGAATTGATCGTTTGAGCTACTATTTGTTCCATGCTTACTCTGTCCCAGAACTTGATGTGCATTCACCCTTATCCACCCACTGAAATAGGCTCTATTAGTATCTCCATTCTGCAGATGAGGTAGCTGAGGCTCAGACAGATGAAGTACACACAGCTTGTAAGTGGTAGAGCTGGTATTTGAACCCAGGTCTGACTCCAAACTCCATGCTCTCAAACACTACACTATCATACTCCCTCCCCAAAAACTGAAAGTAAATTTCATAATTACTTCCTCTACCTCCTGTCTGGGTTTATTAACACCTAAAACCAGGAGCTATAACAGCAGCCTTGAGACTGTTTGAAAGGCTCTGGTACCCCCACCCACAGATACCATCTCCCTTTGGCTTGAGGATAACCACCCACTATATCCCCTCTTGAAAATCTGAGTTAACAGAAACTGAGAACTGAGGGATTCAGTAAGGACAATTTGCAGCCAGATTACACAAAGACTCAAGGTACAAGAAGTGACAGTAGTCTTAGTTGCTTTTCTAGACTGGTGAGCCCTTCACTAATAGGTCTGGGTTTAGCTAGAGCCACTTTTCTCCTTTTTAAAGGAAGGGAGAAAAATGCAAAGCTCTCACGCCAGCACAGAATCTGCATCAGTAAAACTGCTCTCTCTCAACAGAACTGAGGCCACCAGAGATGGGAAAGGGGAAGGAGAAGGGGGTTAGGAAGAAATTGGTAAAGGGCCACAAAAAATGATTACCTTGTATAGTGATAAAATAATGAAATAATAAAGCAGAATTTCAGCAAGGTTAAAAAAATTGTGCCCCCTGTCTTTCGCTCTTTGTACAAAGCAGTAGCTATGGCTTGAAACAAAATAGCAAACAGACTTTATCTTTTAGTACCTTTTTGTTTTTCCTGGTCAGCTCCATGTGCCAGCATATTGTTTTAACTCTGATGGTGATACAGCATTGAGCTGTGAACAATTAAACACAAACACTAGCCTCACTTCCATCCTCTTCTTTCCTCCTTAGGTGAAGGCAGCGTCCAAATATGTGGATGTACCTGTGAGTATTTGAAAATTTGAAAATTGGTGTTCGTGGGTTTGGGTTTTGTATTTTGGTTTTTGCTTTCATGAGAACTTGATGAGGCTGTTTTCATTAGTTGCTGCTAAATTGTATATTCCTGACTCAAGTCATCAGAAAGAGAGAAGCCAAGAATATTTTGTAGTAGACTTTTTTTCACATGAGAAGAGGGCATGGTTTCCTCCATCAGGAAAAAAGGTCCTGTTAAGGGCACTTTCACTTTCATTTTCATTGCATTTCTGGTACGTTTCATTCTGTTTCATCCTGCTCTCCTGCATGCACACCTTGGGAGCTAGAAATTTGCACAATGGTGCCAGTATTTTAAAAAACAAATAAATTCTGAATTTGTTCATTTTGGGTCAATTCTACAATTGTTTTAAGGAAACCTTACAAAACTGCTTATTATTAGTGCAAGCCTCATTAATGAAGAGAGCTCTCAAAGTTCACAGATAAAGCACTTGAAGTTGCCCAAAATTTACATTTAAATTGAGGTTAAGTACTACACATGAATGCTAAAGTGTGGGATTACCTGTGATAAATCAGGATACATTTATAGACAGACTTTGTCCTGCCTATTAGCAAAATAAAATTGGAGAGATTTAAATATATTCCAATAAAGAGGAAAAGAAAATTATTCTGTTTCTCCATTTCTAACAAAAGAGGTGTGAGTCTATTATAAAATATTAAATTTAGAGAGCTTATCTCAATAGCCACCAAGGGTCTTGTATTGAACGTTTCTCATTCTGAACGTGGTTAAGTACCCTCCTTGTTCAAATACTTATTTGTTAAAATTTGTTTTTTTCTAAAAGGATTTATATTAACATTTAAATTCATTTCCCCAGGAAGCTAAGTGTGTAATGGTTTATTGGCTTATTTCTCAAAGGTAGACAAAATGGAAAATTAGAGTAAATTTAACATTAGCATATATTTTGTTTGTTTAATGAAAGAATGTGCAATCAATAATTATGCTTTGAATTTATATAATACTTCTCATCAAGGGACCTCAGACATTTTCATGTAGACAGTCCTCATAATGAAGCACAGAAAGAGCTCACATAACTGCAGCAAGGAGAGAAGTTAAGTAATTTGCTTTCCCGAGCCCCAAAGTACAAACTTTCACTTCAGAGGGAGCAAACTACTCAAATTCTCTGGCTCTGTGTCTCCATCTTTAAAGAGGATGTAATAATACCTAACTCATGAGTTTGCTGCACAAGTTAAATGACACCATATATGTAGAACACTGAGCACCGTACCTAGCACTCGCTCTGTGTCTCCATCTTTAAAGAGGATGTAATAATACCTAACTCATGGGTTTGCTGCACAAGTTAAATGACACCATATATGTAGAACACTGAGCACCGTACCGTTTGCTGCACAAGTTAAATGACACCATATATGTAGAACACTGAGCACCGTACCGTTTGCTGCACAAGTTAAATGACACCATATATGTAGAACACTGAGCACCGTACCTAGCACTCATTAGACATTTCAGCACAGAAGGGTTCATGGTGCTGGTAGTATGATGCCTATACTCTATTACATGGGGCAGAAAGGGAAATAAATTTGCTGACATCCATACTGGCCTTCATTGGTCTTCAACAGTGACAGAAATTGAAATTCTAGACTCCAAACCTGCAAATCTGATGGCCGAGGTCTGATTTCTACAGGCTTCAGAGCACAGGGGAGATCTCAACTGTGTTGTTTGAACAGGTAACCCATAGACAAGGCCCAATTACTTGGAGAAATTTGATTCAGCAATCAGCACTAGTATCAGGTTATGTTAGGTTGAACCACATGAAATTGGCGAGGTCAAAACCTGCAAATATCAGCAATTTCATGTGGTTCAACCTAATAATTTCCGTAAGCCAGGTTCAGATTTATTATAAAGATGATGGGGGGTGGGGAATGAACTCTACATCAATATAAAAGGTGCCCTGATCTGTAGTCATTCAGTACTTAGGGATTAATTATGTTATATTAGAAGCGTTGTTAGGCTATGAGGGAACAAAAATGAATTAGCTTAGTTTTCACCTTCTACGGAGACAGAAGAAAATGATGCAGCATGCCCCAAAATGTGGTACGTTTACCCCTGATGATATATAATTGCTGTTGTAGTAATAACAACAACTACTGCTATAACCAAACCATATAAAGCACTCACTGTTGGCCAGGCACTGTTCCAAGCACTTCACATTTAATCTTCACAACCCCAGTTTACAAGATGAGGAAACTGAGGCACAGGTTAATTTGCTCAGGGAGCCACAGCTGGATAGAATTCAGATTTAAGCCAATGCTCTTAAACACTCTGCCATACCGCAAGATGATTTTAGTTAGTGCATAAACATCTTTATTTCAGTAGTTGAGCAATTATTTTAGTGAGTATTAGAAAAAAATATGATTAGCACATCAAACCCATGATTTCATCAATTATTAATGACTTAGGACAAAGCTAAACTTTAAAATTGAGTTGATTCACATATACTTTTATAGCTAATAATATTATATGTTTTAGTAAACAAATAACAATTTTATAGAAAATAATAGTACATAATACACATGTACACTATATATACATTGTTTACCTCTAGTAAATAATAGTAATCATTTACTTCTGCAAACAAACCCTATGAGGGGGGGAATATTATAATCCTGTTTTACAGCGGAAGAAACTGAGGGTCAGAGAGGTTAGGTAGCATGCCCAAGGTCACCTGACGAGTAAGTAGAGCTTGACGATTCGGTGCTGTCAGTTTGACTATACAGCCTACCAGCACTGGTTCCCAAGAGACTGTTGTGTGCATCTCTCTCCAAGTCAGCTTTGAGTAAGAGCACATTGGTAGCTCAAAAGCAGCCTTGGTAGGAGTGTTTACACCATGGAAATTGGCAAGCACTACAAATCAGGGATTTGCTTTGTTTTGTTTTGTTGTTTGTTTTTGTTTTGAAGAGCTAGTTTACTAGCACACCACTACCTAGTGCTTACTAAGTCAGTGGTTCCCAAACCAGAATGTGCAGCAATAATACTTGGCAAGGCTTTTTGGTTTGTTTTTGGTTTTTTTAATAGAGATTTTCAGCCCCTCAGCTCCAGAGATTCTGATTCAGTAGGTCTGGGGTGGAACCTGGAAATCTCTTTTCCAAAAGTTCTTGATTCTGATACATGATATAAGTTTGGAAACCAAAGGACTAAATCAGTAATTCTTGACCTTGGCTATGTATTGGAAATACCTGGGGAGATTTTATAAGTATTAATGTCCAAGTTGCTTGCCAGACAGATTAAAACCAAATCTCTGGGTTGAGGAGCCCAGGAATCAGTATTTATAGAGCTCCCCAGTTCCTTTCAATTTGCAGCCAGGCTTAAGAACCATTGGATAAATTCATTTCTCAAATCATTTCTAACTCTGAAAACTCTGAGTTCACCCTTGTTGCCCTGTGAGGATTTGGGCACATAGTTTATTGGTTTAGTTCCATGTGGGGACTAATAGTTAGTTACCTTAGAGATTTGTCTCTTAATTATCCACACTAATGAAGAGAAGCATGTCAGAAGTCATTCAAAACATTGCATAATCCCCAAAGTGTATCTCTTTTTCTTAGATGTAGTATTCCACCCTAAGGTATATGTAGCAGATTTGCATTTATAATGGAGCTTGCTTCAGATGCTGAAAACTTGAGTTTCTTGTCTTCAAGCTCAGAGGTATCCTAGTAGGGGCAAGCTAAGATTAAAATGTCCTATTTTTCTTAAGCCACAGAGTGCCTTATTCACAAATTATGTCTTCTGCAAAAGGATGGAGTTAACTACAAAGATATTTATTTATATTTGTTTAAATGTTTCCTAAAGTCTATGTCATAAGTATCTGTCTAAGTCTATCAATCAGTCTGTCCAAGCCACATTTACATGGATGGAGTTAACTACAAAGATATTTATTTATATTTGTTTAAATGTTTTCTAAAGTCTATGTCATAAGTATCTGTCTAAGTCTATCAATCAGTCTGTCCAAGCCACATTTAAAATAAAAAATGTCATTGTGAGATATCAAAAACCATCACCTGGAAGTTTATCCTATTATGTGTAGGTAACAATATGGTCTAAAGCTAATTCATCTAACAGCATCACAATTGTTCAGTCAAGTAAGTATATTTTCAACCTATAACTACAGGTTAGCTTATTTGTCAACAGTTTTTATTTTAACTGTTTTGATCAGAAATCTATTTAAAGTGCATTATACATCCTTCCTTCCCCCCACCCCTTGCCTTTTGAAACAGGGTACTGACTGTAATTTAATCTTTTCTCAATGACCCAGGATCAGCATTGTGACTGTATCTTTCCCCAGTGGCTTCATAGTGACCCGTTCACCCAGGGCCTCCCGAGGTATAGGGGCAGTTTGCCCCTGCCCTCAATAGTCCCAAACCCCAGCGGTTGGTGAGTCCGTGTGTCTGGTGTTGCAGTTTGGCAGCTTTCTCACTCACGCTCAGAGCATCAGGAAAAGTGACAGCTCTCTCTTATCAGCCCCTGTTTCGTACAGCTCCCCTCTTCCCGATTCCTGGTCCATCAAGGAATGGAAACCAAACTTGTTGGAATTAGATGTGAAGCCAGTTTAAAAGGAAGATGGTTTGGAGTGGGGACCTGAGGACTGTGTTTTATGAAAAACTACACATTTTCATTCGGAGACTTTATCATTTTTATTTTGATATTGGCTCCTCCTAAACCCTTTTTTTCTTCTTGATTCTAAAGTAGATTCTAAAGATAGGTAAGGCTGTGGCATAATATAATATGTGGGTTTAGTCATGTTGGCTCATGTTTGTATTGTAACGTGTGGCTTTCAAGACATTTTCATATACACTATTTTAGCTGATGATCATAACAATACTTGAAGGTAAGTAGGGGAGTTGTTATCCCATTTTACAGGTTACATAACTAAGTCAGAGAAGTCTAAATGATCTACACAAGTTCCAATTTGTGGGGGATACAGTAAAAATCCATGCAGTGGGACTGAAGAGCTTAAAAAGGGAGATGGAGGGGGGATTCACTCATTCATTCATGGATTTGTTCACTCAGTAAATATTTACTGAGCACTTGCTATGTGCCAAGTACCCTTCTGAGTGCTGGGGATATAATAGAAAACACAGTAGGCCGAACGAAGTTCCTGTGTGATACAGGAGCTTATGTTCTAGTGGAAGAAAGACAAAAAAAAAAAAAAAACAAGAAATATATAACACAATGTCAAGTATTGGTAAGTGCTAAGAAGAAAAATAAGACAGAGGCCAAAGATACAGAATTATGGAGTTTCTTAACTACCTGGGTGAGATGGACCACACTGATTTTTTACAAACAGAAGTTTTTAAAACTTAAATGAAATGCCCCTTTGAGGACAGTAAGCCTTAGTGAAAAGAGAAGGAGTGGTGAAAATAACCCCCATTGTAGACCACTATTTCTACATCGTGAGTTATTAATAGGTCTTGCTAAATTTGGCTTTGTATCTTAGCTCTAAGATGGCTGCATGTGCCCAGGAAAAGTCCATATCTGCCACATGCATCCCCAGGGAAGAAATGGAAACAATAATAATCTTTCTCAAGTTCCCCAGGTAGGGGTCCCCATCCCTGCTGAGAATGGGGCTGATGTGCGGCTGCCAAAGGGAGAAAAGGAGAGAGGTGCCAGTTTAGAACTGATAGCTATCACTTACACCTCATTGGAGAACATCCATTGTTTCCTATCATAAAACTGAAACAATTATAGGACCATTATGGAACCTGCTCAATCCATTCCCTGAAAATGACTTGAAAGTGTAACACTTGACTACTGTGGCTTTGGGTTGTCCTCATTGTTTTTCAAATTAATACCTTGTCATTGTTTCAGCAGGTGTTAAGAAATGTTACTAGCATCCCAGGGGCCAAGCATTGGCCCTTTGCTTGATAATTGTTTGCTTTGTATGGGGGGAAAAAAAATACAGTCCTACTGTTTCCAAATCCTCTTCATTTTCACCCTGGAAATTACACAGAAGTGTTAACTAACTTCAATTTGCAGTGCCTGACAGTCACGTCTTGTAGAGAAATGATACTTTGTGATCTAAGGTAAATCACAGTAATGAAAACTAATCTTTTTAGTTATTAACAAACATACATATCTACTGTGGAAATTTAAGGGGTTTGTGGCAGCTCTCCTAATGACCCATATTACAGTGTTTTAATAGGTTTCTTTTGTGATAACTTTGATTACGACATCTCAAGCAGTGTGCATTCTGAGTTTTTTTTTTTTAACATCCTTGCAATAAATCATTTCCTAATTGCTAGATGAACCACCTGCTTACCTTTCCAGAAAATCTTATTTATTTTAAAATTCTTCCTCCTCCCTCTGCCCTTTTAAAAAAAATGCTTGGACTCTAAGGCTGCACTGGAAAGCACAGGCAAATAGTTGAATGTCTCCTGAGTGAACCAATTAGCAAATGTCACTATGTACACTCAGGTTAGACTACCCCTAAAGATGGAACTTGGGGACGAGGGGTATAGATTGAAATAAGATATCTTTACTGAGCACTTTCTCATGTTTTTTGAAAAGGAAAAAGGGATTGGGGAAGGCTGTCACCTTTCTAATGAAATGTTAAAAACAAACAGTGGAAGACAGAGTACATTTGGGTATTCTTTTATGGGGGTTTCAATCTAAAGCAAAGCCAGAGAACATCTCTGGATTAGTCAGTGAAGATTTATCCATTATATAAATTTGCCAGGAAAAAAAATTAATAGTAGAAAAATAGCTATAATATCCTACAGTCCCGACTCCCTTCTTAGGCAGGCTTGATTTCTGCAAAGAGCAGGAGGTTCTTATATCAATTTCTACCAGTGAAGGCTGTGGATAACTATACCGTGGCTACAAAGGTATAGCAAAAGCCATGCAGGGTGTGTGGGGGCAGGGAAAAGGTACAGATGAATGGGTTAATCGAGGAAGAGTCGATGTCTAAAAATTCCATTTTCATGTTTCCTGTTTCTTTGCAGAAACCCGGGATGGACGTGGCCGACGCCTACGTGACTTTCGTCCGCCACTCTCAGGATGTCCTGCGTGATAAGGTCAATGAGGAGATGTATATAGAAAGGTTATTTGATGTAAGTAAATGCCTTCTCCTCCTTGAAGACCAAGGAGGAGACCCTCCAAAATGTGACAAAATAAGAGACAGGAGGATAAGTCACATTTTGAGAAAATGGATTGGTCCTGGTTCAAACAAAATCTTTTTCTCTCCCTCTGCCTTAGGCTCTTATCTGTCGTGTGTCTGTTCCGAACCCTCTGGTGTGGCAGTGTCTCAGTCCCAATCTGTGTGATACACAGGGCGGCGCACAGCCTCTCGGCAAGCAGGCTCGTTCCTGCACCAAGCTTGCAAGGCAGCTTTCTCTAACTGGCAAAGACCTTTCTTGGTCATGGTTCTCCTCCTTGCAATCTGGCCTCGTATTGGGGAGATGTTCTCGTTGGGGAGGCTAAGGCCAACTCCCTCTCCTGGGAGTGGTACCTCTCTGACACCAGCTGTGGCATGCAGATGTGCAGTAAATGTCGCATCGTTATCACTTCCAAGATGATTTTATTTCTGGAAGACTAGAAATCCTTAGCCCTTGGTTTCTACAAACATGTTAGAGTTTCTCAGTCACTTGCAGTTCTAAACCGTGGTGCCCCTGCCCACCCACCCTCCTGAAAATTTGTGAAAAGAAGCAGGTATACAAAGAGTGAGTACACTGGGCTGCCAGACCCAGATCAAACTTCAGAGAATGCAGGTTTCCAAGGGTTAATCATTTTCAAGCAATCTTATTTTTACTGTGACTACATCTGCACTGCAAAGCAAGCCACTGAGGCAAAAAAAAAAAAAAGGAATCTGCTTGGGTCTCAAATTGCCTGTTTCTTTCAGGCCAAAGCAGATGGGGTTACCTAATTTAGCCAGATATTTTGCTTCAGGTTTCCACCAAATTTGCCAGTGTAGACCCAGCCAGAGTGCATGGAAGCTGATGTCCTTGTCTCCGTGTAGCTCTAACTGTGCAGCCTACTTCTGTCTTGTGAAACGTGAGCTCCTCCTGTCCAGGTTTCTGTATTTTTAGTGCCAGCCCGAACATTAATGTTTTGGTCTACTATGAAATCCGTGTTTCTATATTTTTTCTGTGATTGTGTTCAGCAATTTACATTGAGTTTTTGTGTGTGTGTGTTTTTGTTCCATAGCTAAGTGAGCTCATTGTTGGCACCGCTCTCAGATTCTGCAGCTTCTGACTTTTATATGCTTTGTCTTCCAGCTCATTTGCTTTCCTCGTGTGTTGAAAGGCTCCTTTCTTTTTTTTTTTTTTTTTTTTTTTTTTTTTTTTCCTTTTCCAATCATCTCCTTTCTGTGCTGGATACCCCTCTCTCCCCTGCATCACCTTTCTTTGACAAAACCCTTCTTACTTTTTAATTCCCACCCATCCTCTCTTGGATTAAAATGGAACTTATCTCTCATGTCAAATGTTTTATCACATTATATCAAGTGGCATGAATTAGAATCAAATAATCTTCCTGTGTACATCTTCTAGCATGACCCACATCCACTGAGAATGCCTCATACATGCATAAAGCTCACCAGCGGGTCCCCCCCTTCTCTGCATGCGTGCCTTTATGAAGTACTGAGCCTAGAATGTCTGGGGCACGATCACCCATCCAATAGGCATTGAAAACAGAGACAGGCAGCACCCTCAGGTCTGCAGTTAGGAGTGTGGACTCTCTGCCCATCTCCACTGAATTAAATTCTAAACCATAAATTTTCAAGAAGCCTGTGGATTGTTCTTTTCAATGCCTAGGTTGCCTTTTTTTTTTTCCTTTGATCAGTATCTTCTGATTCTCAGTTCTGTGTGGCCGTGTGTGCGTGTGTGTGTGTGTTCCCGTGTGAGTGTGTGTGTGGATAACCTCGTGCTCTCTAAAACTTAAAAACATCTAGTACTGAATTTGATGTTTAACCCACAGTTTCACCTGTCACTTGATTGACAAATAATCCACCCTTCTCTCTTTCTTTTTTTAAACCAGAAGTGCAAAAGGGAAATTATTTTTAAGGTAGCCCGTTGAAGGCAGTGAGGCAAATTGTCCTTCTGTAGCTCTTTTTAAAGGCAAGTGTAATTGAATCTTCCTTTAAAAAGTAAGGTTGCAACCTTGGCTAGCCCAGATGGTAATACTGGACTTGCCCTACTGCTGGAGAACACAGGAAAATTCAAGCCCTCCAGCCTTTAATGTGAATTAATAGTGAAAAGAAATATTACTAAGAATATGTTTTTCAGAAAGCAAGTTATGTTTAGGGCCTTTTAAAAATTCACAGGTATCTCCGGTCCCTCACTGAATTCCACCGACAGCATAAAATGGCATCAGTAACATTGTGGGAAGCCCCACAATTTAGTCTTATGTCCCACGTTTATTTTCCCAATGGAGTCTTAGTTGTACTCTCCTGAGTATCTGATTATAAAGGCTTAACCGTTACAACCATTCACTGCACATCACTCCCTACCCCAGGAGGAAAAAAATTTTTTTCAGAAGCTCATTTAAGCATAACAAATTCCTTTGCCATTTACTTTCTTACTTTTCAAATAACCTGGTCCCCTAATTTACGGAATATTGGTGCTAGGCAACCTAACTGATGTATTGCAAAGAAAGTTATTGAATCTGTCATGGATTTAAAACATTTGTCATTTTAAAAACCCAGAGCTTCTCAAAAAGCTTCATTACCATGCAGTCTCAATAATTTAATTCAGTACTTACTGTTTTTCTATAATCTAGCAGCAAAACATCAGATTACCAACATGTTTGATTATTTTCGGCTTCTGTTTCCTCAAGCATGGTGTTTATTCCTTTGTAGATATGCTCTGCAAGACTCGCGTGTCCACTGAGCTAAACAAGGGAGTAGGAATGTCAAGGCAGAAGGGTCTGTGAAACTGCCACCCTAAGTTTCTAGCTGCAATGAACTTATCTTTTAAACATTATTCCTTAATAATAGCAGTCCTGGGTCAGGTTTCTAAACAATTGGCAGAAATCTACCGAAAAGACTTGTTGATTTGGGAAGTTTCTCTTCCAAATTGTTGCATTTTGATAAATGGCAAAAATGAATAATAGCAAGTTAGCATTTTGAATGAAGAAAAAAATATATATCTCCGAGATTGTTTGCTGTTTGGGGGTTATTGATTCTGACTATTGTGTCATTCTCTGGGTTTCAGTTCCTGCTGGCATCTGTCTTTCAGAGGCATGTTCTAAGAGTTCCTGTTGTGGTTGGTTTTAACTGTGTTTCAAGTCTCAGTTTTATCTCAGTTTTATTTACCTGATAAGTCCTTTACGTTCTTGCTATTTGGTATTGTTCCTTCCCCCACCCCCCACCCCCACCCAACCCTTTGAGTGTACCCTTGTAAAAAAGGCTGGATGGCTTTAGTGTGTATTTGTATCTGAGAATGTTTGGATTAATAGATTAATAGCTGGTCATTTAATGGTGCATTCCCTGTTTTAACTAGGCCCCTACCCAGTGCTCTCTGAGCCGGTTTTCTCTCTGCCTCGTCATTGTACTTTTGGCTGGAAGTGGGTGCTTGTGGGAGATTATCGGCATAGCATTTGGGGCTCTATATTTGATGTTCTGCATTTTTATCTATTTTATTATGTAACTTAAGAATAGGCTTTCCAAATTCATCTTCACTGATTTTTTTTTAAACCAAGCATTCTCTAGGTTTATTGGAGAAATATATTTCAACATAATGTTGCCTAACCAGGTCATTTTTTGCCGTGAAAGTTTCCCTGTTTATTAATGTAACTGTTTTACGTAGTCTTTCTATAAAACACTAACAACTTCTTAAATAATGCACCTAAAAAAAGACCCAGTCCAAAATAAACTGCTGATTGGAAAAAAAAAAACCTCAAACTATTTCCCATAATATTTCAGATGTGCAGGTATACATTTTTATCTGCATTTTTGTAAATTTTTTTTCTAAAAAATGAAATACAATTGTATATTGGTTTCAGTTGCTGCAAAATAAATGTCTAATATTTTGAAACAAAATATTCGGAGATTTACAGAATGAGACTATCTCAATATGTACGATAACAATGAATTTAAATTACATTAAAGATAATGCATTTTTAAAAGAACATTAATTTGCTCTAAGATTCAAGTGGAAGCTTGGCCTCCTTGAAAATTATTGCTGACTTTTAAAGAAAATATAAAACATGGCCATGAAATAATCTCCATATTCCTAAAGCAGCAGCTAAGGAGGAAAGCCCAAGTTCAAGAAATAACTTGAAGACAGCAATTTCAAGTTGGAGTGTCCATAAATCATGCAGATGGCTTTTCCCCCATCTCTAGTGATTAATTCAACATCTTCCCCAAAACAAAAACATGCTTTTTGAAATTAGAGATCAGATCATCAAGAGAAGCACCTAAGATTTCAAGGTCTAAACAAAAATTAATTTATTTTCTTTCCTCTGTGTACTCCTTGAAGACACAGACTGAGAAGAAAATCGGGATTAAAAGAGATGTGCTTAGGGTGAATTCATCTGCTTAAACCTCACAGGCTCGGAGATGAGTGATTAAAAAGCCATCTCGAACTTGGATGGAATCCACATTGGTAGTAATGCTGCATCCACGCTGGCTTTCTTCAGGCCCCCGTGTCATTGTGAGCCAGGCCCAGGGAACATTTGACTGGAGATGATACATGGATTATATAGGTCAATTATACACTTAATCTGCCTTCTGGAGGATTAAGTATTTGCAGATTGACTCTGCATTTGGCTTCTCCGTGGCAGTTATCAGATCAGGAAAGGGCCCCTTACCAAACCTCCTCGTAAGAGCTTAATCAGACAGCGCGGTCAGATTCAGATAGAACTGCTGCTCAGTATTCTTTGCCTTGCATGGGTTTTAATTTGCTGTTCCATTATCAAATCATGTATTTGCCCACTTTATGTGGCAGCACAATAATTGAGTGTGAATATTTCTCTTTAAAGGGATAATTTAAAAAATGAAATCTCTGCCTATTAAAATATATTTGCTGTATTTATATATGAAAACACAGATAACCTTATTTTAATAACCTTATTAAATTATTAAGGCACCATATATGTGAACATATAGCAATCA